AGATCTTTTTCTCTTTCTTTCTAAGATTATTTCCTGTTGCCTGGCATTGTGAAACAGGCCTTTATTTTATTTCCAATGTAATGCAATTAATCTTTCATATGCTATATTATTGTTTTATATTTATAAAGTAAGTAAAAAGTAAAATCGATTTTAAGAAAATTAGAAATATACATAAATCTTTAATAATGTAATATGTCACAATAATATATATGTACAATTCTTGCTAGTTTTACACGAATTAGTAATAGCTTAGTTCATGTAAAAACTAGCAAAAATTGTACATATTGCGCATATATGCGTATGTGTGTATATATATATATATATATATATATATATATATATATATATATATCTGTATATTAAATATATGTATATTAAAAATCTATAAGTATATTATCAGTTAATTATGCAAAACAAGGTTAAACTTGTTAACTACATTAATATCTTGAATTGTTGCAAGCTCAAGTCCAAATGCGTTGACATCAGAAACGATCGTTCAAGTACAATTCTTGCTAGAATTTGAGAAGCACTGTCTTACGTTACATGAGTATTTCTTGATACACTTTGACGGAAACATGCAGGCGCGTATAAATTTATGCACTACGCGGAACGTGTATACATCCGTGTTTTATTATGCTCCACCCGTATATGCCGCGTTTATTCGTCCACCATCTCTCTTGTGCCATTCGACATGAATATATGTATTACCGCGCGCCTCTAAGTTCGTTTATGCCAGTCATGTGGGAATTTCTATAAATGTGCAACTTATGCGATATTATACAAAATATATCTCGATATCGACAACTGCGATCAAAGTACGTCGATTTTTGTGCAAAAATCTCCAGAATTCGAAATAATTAAACTTGAAATGAAATTTTAACTGATTTGATCGAGTTTTTCATTTTAAAAGTAATGTAATTTACGGTGATTGCATATCTCACGTCGCCATTTCGTACCCGAGATCGAAAGAATTTTTATATCTTATTTATATGTATTACTGTGTGCTTCCAAGTTTACTTATGCTAGTCATGCAAAATGAGAATTTCTAGAAATGAGTAATTCATGCCGACATTATACAGGGCGTATCTCAGTAACAGTGACCTAAATCGACTTTTTTCCGAAAACTTGAGAAAGTCAAAATTGGCACTCGAAGAATTAAAGAATCTAGACTAATTTTAACGCGTTCTCAATCTCACAGGCGTGATTTGTAACAATCTTGTGTTTTCGTAACGGAACTCGTGAACAATGTTTGTGTCTTATATTTCTCTAGTAATAGTACCCATTGTTTCTCTCAAACTACTCTTTAATTCGCCGTCTTGTGAAGCGACACTTTGTGCCGTGTCATAAAAGACGCATAGTGAATCGGCAAGAAATTTGATCGACTTCCCGTTTTGAATGTAACTGTAATTGCATATTGCGCGATGTGCGTCTTTCGCGCGTTCGTGTTGCCTTTTAATATCTACCGGTACGATTGATACACCTCGCCGTCGCGAAAGGAAAGGCACACGGTAAACAGACCGCGCGTACGTTTCCGCAGCGTCATGACTGGTCGCTATTGATGCATTCAATCTATTCACGCTAAGTGGGCATATGAAAAACTACGTCGATAATAATTGAACGATATCGGTGACGTGTGTATCGCCATAATTGACCCACTAATAATGCTCATAGTGGGCATAATGGTCTACTGATAGGTTTTCCACGATTGAAACGTTAGAAGGTAACCATTGATTGGGATAATTTGAAGCTTAAAATGTACAATACCTGTGCGAAATCTTTTTCGAAAATAGCTTTCTCATTCAATGTTTATTTTTACACGGACGATCCTCGAAGCTGTTGTAAATATCGACGCATCAAAGCTTTGCTTTAGAGATAAATTTTACATACAAATCATACAAATGTATGAAAATGTGATGTTTCTTATAATTTGGAAAATATTTTTGTTTTGTAAATTTTTGCATTAATTTGAATACTTATTGAAATACTTTTTAGGTTTTAAAATTTTTTATTATTTAGAATTTTACTTAATTTCCTATAATTTCCACTTTATACATTTTTGCGTGATTTCCCCCAAATCTCTCTTCTTATTTTGTGCTTTCGCCATAATCTGCAAATTTTATAAACTTATCCTGCAACTGGAACTTGATAAAATATTGCGACATTTTGATTTTCACGCGGCTTGAGATAGTTTTAATTAAAAAAAATGTGGTAGTACTAATTACTGGATTATCGAAAAAGCATGAAAAAATTGACACGGCAGTATAATACAGCGATTTTCGTTTGTTTCAGTTCACAATGCGCTAGGGGTGATGGAGACAGTGGGCAAGCAAGTTCAGGTAGTGAGTGGACTGGGGGTGGGAGGTCCGGTGGGTCCTGTGGGGGGAGATCTGCATCACCATCATCATCCTCACCCGCACGCCCATCCTCCGCACTCGCACCCCCACCCCCATGGTCACCCCCATGGTTCCCATGGCCACTCGCTCGTCGGCGCGACGTCGAACCCCGGCAGGGGTCAGGCCCAACCACCGACTTCGCATAACCAGCACGTACCTGCGAGGTCCACTCCCGTGCAGCTGCACAGGTAAGTTTCTTTTTTCTTTTGTGTACAGAATTTAAGAATTGTTGCTCTCGACCATTTCTTTAAACTGCCTGAAATATTTCACGAATGGAGCTGAGAATGGCAAGTGTACGTTCGACACAATGTCCGGCGAATATTTTCTCAATCATTGAAAACGATCTGAACTCATTTTTGAACACATCTTCTTTGGATTATATATTTATTGCAAACTCACTTACACGATGCGCTTAGACTCTTGGTAGCTATTGCAATTTTGCATCAAAGGCTCTTTTCGATTTACCTTATTCTTTCCTCTGCTGTGTTTGTAAAAATTAAGGAATAAATGGGATAAAAGAGCTCTTACAAGAATTCGTCGAAACAGGGAAACGGGACGCGCCGTACAATTCACTCACATGCGTTTTGTTCGACACTACGCACGGTTGAAACGAATCGAAAGCTGACGCGACCGGCAAGCAGCTTGCGGCGCACGTGTATTTTGAGAAGGAAAGTCCACGAACAAAGTCCGGCCTCGGGGATGACTAGAGAATGTGCGTGGAGCGAAAGGGCAGAGGGAAAAAGGGATGTGGGGCGCGTGTGTAGGAACGTGCGTCGGCAGGTATAGCAGGTAGAATCCGCGCGGCGAGATGGTCCGCCCGTAGCGACGGGAATGAAGCTTGAAAACGTACGCTTTTCAAGACTCGTTCGGCTTATGACACATTTGAATGTGCGGGTACCTGCGCCGAAAAACGATCGCGTATCGTGACAAAATATTCGTTCGCGTTACGAGTTATCGCACTACAGTTTCGATGTTGGTGAGATTCACTCGCAGATTCGCAGATTCACTCACTGGATTACAAAATTGCTCGCATAGCTATAGGACCCTATTCGCATTTTCTTGATGAACGTCGCCGTCGTGAAGTCGCGATACGAAAATAAAGACCTACTGCGGGCTTCTGGTTGCAGAAGTATTTTGTTACGTGCACAATAAGCAACGAGACAGATAGATGTAGAGGTCGGCATTACGTAGTGGCGTTGCGCTAGTTATCTTGCGTGGTCGCAATTGCGTCTCTTGTACTACTATTAGTTCTATTGTATAAAAAACTGACTGATTACACAGACTTCTATAATATGGCAAAACAAAGAAATCAAGAAATATTAATGTGGGAATTGATGTATGTATTAGTTTGGTCGCGAAATTATTTTCTATGCGAAGAGCTTTCACAGTTGATATGTTTTTTATGTTGCCCCGCAATAATTCGAATTGTATTTGTATGCTTAAAGCGCGGAAACGTGCTTCATAAAATTGTGGGACTTTTAAGATTACACTGTAATCAAGTATATTGATACATAAGCTTCCACTTGTATAAACTTTAGCTTCAACTTAAGCTTCTTGTTATATAAGCTCACGGCTTAGTAGAAGCTTGCACATTGTGGAGCTTTATAAATTTATTATCGAGCAATTGAAGATGAAATCGAAAAACGTTTTCCATCGGAAAATCGACGTAAAATATCATTTTATAGCTTTCGTCCGTTCATTTTATAGCTTAACATTCATTTTTTTCTCTCCACGACTCTTAGAATTTTACGACATAGGATAAGTAATTTCTGGATAATGCGACATCTAATGACGGATGATATCAGGGATTCGCGATACTTTTGTCGTCGCTGCTCGTTACATCTGCGGGCGTTCTCGGGATGTTAATGAATAAAGATATGAGATCATTATGACTTTTCTACACGGTGTCTTGTATAAAGGCGAACGTTCGCGACGGCGAACGGATGCTTTGCGAACAAGAGAATGTTGCGACGTGACGCGACTGCAATTTTTTTCCTCCGAGTATCTAACGCTGCTACGTACACTGTCACCGTGTGTATTGGCATTTATAGTTGACGTGCTGACTGTGGAATCATGCCTCTGAGAAAAATGTTGACAGGGAACAACGAAGCCATCCGCATATATCAAGCTCTTCGATGAGTAATGATGCATTGACATTTCTTATAAATATATTAAGAGTTTTACATCAGTTGTGGGGCTAATCATTTATTTTATGTATAAAATAATCAATATTTTGTCAACGTGTTTAAAAGCGGTATTTATATTTTTAAAAGGTCCTGCAATTTAACAAAATACATTTCATATTATACCAAACTTTTAAGTAGAATTCAAGTTTTTATAATTACACCTGGAAATAAAAAGAAAACATTAATTGTGTGAAAGCTCTTCACGTAGAAAATGTAATTTGTGCGATTTCGTCATTAGCCAATAGTATGTTCAAGTCAAAATGTATTTATACATAAAAAATAATTATAAATCTGCCAGTAAATGGGTATAGACATTTATGCGTTCAAAAAGCAATCTTGTCGCTAGCGCTCGATTAGACATAAAACGCGTAATTCGATCAGTAACACTTTTTCGAATGATGAAATTGGCTGCATTTCATTAGCACACGTTTTTTTTTGCTCGTGCTTATCGACTTATTCACACAGAGACATTCAAGTATGCTTTATCATGCACTACAGTCAGGCTACTGGGAAAGGTGAGATATTTTTGCCTGAGACAACGCAATCTGCGCGAAGTTCTAGCCGTGGGTTATATAAGTGTCGCGCGGCTTAGAATACACTTTATGTACGAACCGCGAGCCTCTCTTGGCTCCATTTGCATCGTATTTTAAGCCTATTACACAGTGAAGAATGCGCGACGAGTACCGGGAAATTTGCGAATACAATACGATATCACAAAGTTCAAAAGGACGTGGCGCAAAATTAAATTTGCGAGAGCCGTTTGATTCTCAAGCAGGTGTACAGTCGATAGAGTTTTGCAATACTTTCACTGTTGTTGTAACGTGTATACGCGTATACGGTGTTATCGTCTTTAACAAATTTGTTCAAATTGAAGTTGCATCGGTATAAAAACTAAAATATTCGTACAACTTATTTCGTAGTTAATTGACATGGAAAGTCTCTTGGTAATATTTATTGAGAAAAATATTTATTTGTAGGTTGTTTTTGAAATATACGTTCTATTTTCTTACATTCTAAATTTCAATGCGTATATGAATGCATCATATTGATTTTAACAATTTTTAGAAACTACCTATTTCACGCTTTTAAACTCCTTTATTGGTAACATTTCTTAAATAAATGACTCATACACATATTGATTAGGAATAATAATCAGAAAAAATACCATGAAATATTTTTCGAGGGAATAATTGTATATATATATGCAACATCCCACGATTAATATATATTAATATATCTTTCTTGATATACAATTCATCGGACAATATTCGATTATTACGATCGAACGATATCGATTGATATGATAATAATGACAGTATTAACGACAGATTTATCGATCAGCTTGAATTTAATTTTATCTTAATCAGTTGCCATAGAAAAATTTCACGTAAAGACCGATGTATCGTAAAGATTGTTGATGCCTCCTTTCATTGTTAAAAAAATTTGTATCGACAGATATGTTGTATTTTATTACAGATATGGAAAAAAAATTTAATATACACAAACTGGCACTGCGATATGTCCCAGTTTTGTATGAAAGAGATTAAAACTTTCAATATGCGTATGTCTGTGACGAGCTAAATTTATACATTTAGTCTACGACCTCGGGGCGCCTTTGAAAACTCGCCAGGTATCTCAAAAGTACAAAGTCTCCAAAACAACATTGTATCTCCACTACAATCTGTTAATGTCGTCACGTAAATATTCTGCATATTTCGCCCACGTTTATCTGCTACCTACTCCTTGACGAATCTTCGGTCTGTCGTAAAAAAATCTGTGATGTGTCGCAGGAAACTCGAATCTATATGATAGTATTTTAAGAAAATATCTCTGTGAGATACAAAAAACTCTTTACGATCCATTGTTACGTGAATATGCGATTATGTGCGAATTTTCTCGCAATTGCGCAAATCATGAATCCTTGCGAGATAAATTAAATCGCTTAATTCTTCAGTGAGAAACACGAGCATTCTTCTCCGTTGCGCCGTGGATTTTCGTTTACTCTCTCGACTTTGATCCGAGATTGCTTATTTAAAGAGACATGACTCGCCCCTCACTAAATACGGCCTCGAGATTCGCAAGACTTTTAAAGAGTAAGGCGAGTGGATTCGTAAATTCGTGATACGTTATCAATGACAGATCAAGATTGATTCTATGAAGTTGAGCAATACGTAAAATATTAAATTCTCCAAACATTAAAATTTTATAGATGAATTATCATAAATAAATAATGAATAATCATAGGCATAGAGATAAGAGTTGGCTGTGAGTATCTTTCCTACACGTTGGATTATGAGAATGATAGGAAAAGAGAGAGAAAGAGTGGCGATATGCTGAATCTTTTTCCAAATTTAAATTTGTTTCAATACACAATGTTAGTTCTATACATCCTATAAGCCAAACTGATTCTCCGTCTCTTTTTTATCTCCAACAAAAACATAATATGTCATCCAGTACCGCGTGAAACCTAACTTAACTTCTTCGTCTAACCGCGCGGCGAGCGAGCACGCATGCGTGTCGCATGCGTACACCACTACTGCTACCTGTCGATTCTAACCTCAAACTGTCAACTTCGTACGTTGTTCTTTAATCTCGTGTAACTTGCGACCGTGGCATGTCTCCCAGATGAACGTTCGTCCTGGGTCGCGTCAAATCGAATCGCCAAGTTGATGTTTGTGCCTTTTTTCGCGTGAGTGTTCCTGAGTGCCGCCGTCGCCTCGGAACGGCGGACTGTGCGTGAGCAGAATGCGACCGTATCGGCGTACGACAAATTCCTTTTACAGTCCTTTGCCAGAACTGAATGCCACAGTAATGTAAGTCCACACGTTCATTCCCGTTAATCGCGCTTTAACGGTTTTTTTTTTTTGTTTTGCGAATGAATTCTGCTACATCGAAGTAACGCTTTGAAAATCCTAACCTAGCAACTCGTCACGTTCGCTACCACGTGAGCCAGACTCGTGATAAAAATCTATTTTTAGATACACGTTTACCACAGACATAAA